GACCACACCGACCACTGTGCCACGTCTCTAGGCATGGGTGACCACACTAACACACTGTGCCACGTCTCTAGGCATGGGTGACCACACCGACCCCTGTGCCACGTCTCTAGTCTCCATCCTTCCATGCTATTTTGATTCCCGTCCCACAGTAGTGTCACATATGTTTTACACCGAAACTTTTCTCATGTTTAGAACCTGAGACCTAATCGTTCACTTGGAAGCAGAGTTCTGGACTACTTCTGTGGAACAGGAAGTATCAGATGGCGTAGAAAGAGATGTCATCCACTATAAGCGTTGATTTAAGAAAAAAATCCTGCCAGTGCTGTGGTTTAAGACTGAGCGCATCTGACGGTGAAATTTCCTCCTGTTCCTATTCAGCCCTGTACTGTGCACTGACGCGGTGGTCACCGGGGGAAGGCAGTTAGCAGCCTCTACAGTCAGTATCTCCACATCAACAGGAAATGATGGGCTTTGTGTCACAGGGTTGCTGTGGAACTGTAGGCGTCCAAGTGCTCAGAACAGCACACACACAAAACACACATTCATGAGCGCTTGAGTGATTACTCTGTCTGCCTTTAATCTACCAATAGCTGCTGTAGCCCACTGTGCTGCCCCCTGGAAGTCTTGAGCATTTAAATACTTGGTGTCCAGTTGGTACCTGTTTGGGGAGGATTAGGAGGTGTGGCCTTCTTGAAGGAAATGTGTCACCAGGGGCAGCTCTCTGTAGCATTGAGTGAGCTCTCTGCTCCCTGTCTGTGGACTGAGCCCTGAGTTCTCAGCTGCTGCTCCTGCCTACCTGGTACCATGCTCCCTGCTGTGACACTGATGGACTTTCTTCCATACATTGTCTCAGTCGGCCACAGCGTTTTATCATGGCAAGAGAAAAGAACTACTACGCCTATGCTCACAGTTTCCTAATTCTACACGTGACTTCCACAGAGCATGCAGACTTAAGAATCAGGTCCCTCAGTGTGCGTCTCCAAAGGTGATGGTGTTCTCACCTACCTTAGAAATTATGAGATAGACCAATCTCATAATTGTCATGACAATAAAGTCACACATTATCAATTTAATCTCCTGAACTTACAGCCTTCCAGAATCCACCAGTGTCAAAAAATCAACACATCACCACCTGGACCTATAGCTGACGTAAAGCCAGGATCAGTCAGAACTGAAAATATTCTGTTTCAGGAAAAACCAGCTACTAATTGAACTAAGAGCAATCCGTGGGAATCGGGACTTGCTTTTGTGATCAGTACTGTCAACATCATCATGTCCTGTCAAGTCAGCTGAGACAGACCACAGTGCCACTGCCCTACGCTAGGATTTCTGGGATAGCCAAGAAATTCTTGGCACCCTGGCACCCACAAGTCTCCATCCCTACTGCTCTCCTGGCTGACTTCTCATCCACTTTACTGCAGAGAGGACTGAGCAATGGCGAGAGTTGGGAGGGGCCACACTTCCAGGGGTGGAGATTCCAGCTCAGACTACAAACCTCATACGTGGGGATGCACGGCCCATTCTAATGAAACATACGGCTGCAGACATGAAAAATCCATGAAGAGAAGACACTAAGACCACAGACCAAAGGAGGTTAGTGAGTGTTTCGGGAAACCACTTCTCACAGGCAGTATGAACCAGTGCTGTGTTATTAAGCCTTGCGAGACAGGGAACTTAAGTAGGTTGATTTTGTAAAGGATAGCTCTCCCTCCCTGGATATCTTAGATGAAGAGCCGTTCCTGGCCAATTAGGATTTACAGAAACCCAGACACCTTTCATACTTTCATTACAACTGTATAGAGCGTAAAGCAAAGTATTTTCTAAGGGAAAAACAGCCTGTGAATCTGGAGATCAGTTCCACTGATGAGCAGATAATCTTAGAAACTGTGAGGGCCACGGTGGGAGATGAGGACAGTGTGACCAAGCAGCAAGGAAAGACAGGAAAAGCACTCAGCCACTGTCAGCTGAGAGGGTTCACGATCAATTTTCACACATAGCAAAACGGAAGAGACATACACTGTTATCAGAGAAAAGACGGCAGGTACTGTGCAGAGTGGCTGCAACCCCAGTGCAAGTCAGCGGAGAAACAGACAGGCAAACAAAACCTGACTGACAGTGGAGGAGTCTCTGAGGAATCATTCGGCCAGGGGACACAGCTGGAACACACTGCTTCCCCGAGACTTAAGACAGTGGGAAGACAAATGAATCATCTGCCATTTATATACACAACACAAGGCAACACCACTCAAGGGCTTGGGAATAAAACTGTAAGTGGCGCACGCCTTTAATCCCAGCACTTGGGAGGCAGAGGCAGGCAGATTTCTGAGTTCGAGGCCAGCCTGGTCTACAGAGTGAGTTCTAGGATAGCCCGGGCTACATAGAGAAACCATCTCTAAAAACCATAACAAAACAAAAAACAAGCAAAGCAGAACTGTAAGTCTGAGCTGAGGGAGTGGATTTCAACAATGACTGGTACTGCCAAAGAACAAGGAAAATGCCAGCAGAGGGAGAGGCCGGGCCACACAGTTTAGGATAGAAATTCTTTAAACTGACCTCAAAGAAAATAAAGAGGTAGGAGGTGAAAGGGCTCACTGGGTAAAGGAGCTTGCGGCTCAACCCTAGCAACTGAGGTTCATTCTCTAGATCCCACGTGAAGGAAGGAGAGGATCCCTCACAAAGAAGTCTCGTGACCTGAGGTGTGCTGCTGCTGAGCCCAAACACACACTCCCAATAATAATAATAACTTAACACGGCTGGAGAGGTGGCTTACTGGTTAAGAACATCAGTCGCTCTTCCAGAGGACCTGGGTTAGGCTCCTAGCACACACATGGTGACTCACAGCGAGCCACCTGTAACTCCAGTCTGAGGACAGTCAATGCCCTCTTCTGTCCTCCACAGGCACTGCACGCACACGGTACACAGACATACATGCAGGCAAAATATATGTGTAAGATAAAAATAAAGGTTAAAGAAGGAAAAAAAAAAAAGAGCGTGATGGGAAAGACCCGCCCATGGTTTGCAGCACCAGCCCCTTGGCTAGGACTCTGGACTGAATGAGAAGGTGGACGGTGGGAACCTGCTAGGCCCCAGGGAGCACCTCTCTCCCTTCCTGACTGCCGACTCAGTGTGAGCAACTGCCTCAAAGTCCTGCTGCTGTGACCTCTGGACTGGGAGGGACTGTATGTACCCTTGGGCTGGAATCAAAATAAAACCTTTTCTCCCTTAAGTTCCTTTTGTGGGGGTTTATTCCAGACACAGGAAAGTGACTGATACAGAGCCCCAAGCATTTCAGCCAAAGAGAATGAAAACAAAATCAGGGGGGTAGGAACCTGAGCGTGAAGAAGGCTGTCTTTTGATGCTACACTTATGAATGTCCAATAAAAGGAAACTATGAGAATGGGTAACTATGAATGCTAAGACCCAAGGGGTAGAGAAAGAAGGAGCTGACTTCTGTTCTTTCTCCCCCTCCTGTATCCTCTAAAAAACCAAAGGTCTCTCTGTCCTGGAACTTGCTCTATACACCATACTGGCCTAGAACTCATGGAGATCCACCTGCCTTGCCTCCAGTGCTGGGATTAAAGACACGAAGCTCCCACAGCCAGCTAGGAACCTTTGATTGTGGGTAGTGGTAGCCAGTAGGGAAAGCTCTCTAACCACATACTTTCATGGGGAAGGAAGAAGCCTGCAGGGGTGACTAACTACCTTCAGTAACTTCTAAAGCTCGAGATGATGAGAATGTTCCTGAGAGGAACTCCCCAGCTACCATCTGCTCTCTGCCTCCACTAACACACCTGGATAGCTCTGAGGTGAGTACGCTCCTTCTACTATCCATGGCTCTTCTCCTTGTTCCAACTTGATGATAACATCCGGTTTGATAATGTGATACCCTGTTAATGAGAAATGAAAAACAACTTGAGCCTGCCCGAGTGGCTTTGGGGTTTCTACCGTGCTGGGAAAGCGCCACTGTGCCAGCTACGCAGCCCAAGAGCCCCAGGGCTTTATTTTCACAGAAAGGTCAGGACCTTCTGGTGGTCAGAACAAGCTGCTCACAGTCAACTCAAAGTTAAAGGCATCAGCTCTGAGGACATCCCACATCTGAGCGCCTGGGAAGCAAGTGCTCCTCACCCACGGAGACGAGGTTGCTGTAGGTCTCCAGCATCACATCCCTGTACGTCATCCTCTCCTCAGAGTCCAGCTGCTGCCACTCCTCCTGGGAGAAAGCCACAGCCACATCCTTGAATGACAGCGGGCCCTGCAACGACATGATCAGAATTAGATCACATGATCACACAGAACAGGCACCTGAAGACAAGATCTTCCCGAGCTCACTGGTACAGTTAGCCACGAACACTGGATATCTTACTTTATATTACTGACTGTGAGAACAAAGCATGGTTATCAAAAGCATACTGTCTCGGGGCTATGGAAAAGTGCTTGCAATATGAGTGTCAGAACCAAGAGTTTGGACTTCCAGAAACCCATACAAATGTCAGGTGGGCATGGCTGTCCATCTGTAGTTTTTATCTTGGAAGTCAAGACAGGGGCTCTCCAGAGGAAGCTGGCTAGCGAGACTAGCTATACTGGAAAGCTTTGGATTGGCATAAGAGATCTTTCCTCAATGACTAAAGTAAAAGTGTGACTGATGATTCCCCACACCAACCTGGGCCTCCACATCCACTGACACATGCAAAACATAGGAATGCACAAATGCATGTAATACACACGTGAGAGAGAAAGAAAGATCCCACTGCCCTGGGGCTCATTTATACACAAATGGGGCTGGAGGGATGGCACAGGGGTTAAGAGCACTGACTGTTCTTCCAGAGGTCCTGAGTTCAATTCCCAGCACCCACATGGTGGCTCACAGCCATCTGAAATGGAATCTGATGCCCTCTTCTGGTGTGTCTGAAGACAGCTACAAGTGTACTTGCATAAATAAAGATAAATAAAACTTTAAAGAAGAAGAAGGAGAAGAAGAAGAAGAAGAAGAAGAAGAAGAAGAAGAAGAAGAAGAAGAAGCCGCCGCCCAAGGGACACCTATGCAGTCCTGGTTAGACCCTGCTCTTCTGGACACCCTCCATCTTGTCTCCAGTATATGAACAAAGCTGGTGTCCCCACCCCTTACTTCCCTGGCTCTTCCTCGTGTCCTCTGCTACCTCGTCTCTCCTTCAGGTGCCCAGGGCACTGACTGCTTTGATGGAGAGCCTCCCTGTATTCATGGACAGTTTAACTGGCCTCTCTGTACCCACACTTCCAAGTCTCTCTTGCACTCTAGACATGCGCGCCCCCACACCTCAATATTCTGCACTGCGCAGCCTCTCAATCAATCCTAGAACTCGGGGACATGCTAGTCTTCCTAGCTAGCTTGCTCTTGAGATCCCCTTGCCTCATCCTTCCATGGCTGTCACTACAGGCAGGCTGACACACCCTCCTAGCATTTTTTTATGGGTTTCTGAAAATCTGAACCTCAGTCTACCCACTCCTGGGGCAGATGCTTTAACCAATGAGGAATGTCCTCAGCTCCCCAAACTCCCTCTCGGTGCTTAACTTCTGAATAAACGGTTTTATTCACAAACACGTCAGCATCACAACTGCTTCCTGCAAACACCAGTGGGCATCATGGACTCTATGGGTCGCACTTAGCACAGTGAAGTAGACTCCAGTGGTATCTACATTATTGGTTTATTGAGTGTATAGTATTATAAATATACATTAACCATACAACAATGATGCTTCAAGTCGGTAACCTGTGAGCCTGTCTTCAAGAGAGAAAGATGTGAAATCACTGCTTTGGAAAAGAAATGAAAATGACAAGAGTGTCTTACAAAAGAAAACACGAGGGCCAGCGAGATGGTTCAGCAGGTGAAGGTGCTTGCCACTAAATCTGACAACTTGAGTTCAATCCCCACGACCTGACTCCTGAAAGTTGTCTTTTGACCTCCACACACCCAACATGCCATGTGCACACGGACACCCACAAAATAAGACAAACAAACAGTCAAAAACAACAACAAAAACCAAACCCGAACAGTAAGATAAAACAAGACCACAGATCTACGGCTTCAGGAATGTGAGCTGACAGAACCTGTCTTCAAGTAGATGAGCCTCCCTGATATTAAAAGCACCCAGGGACCAGCTCTTTACTGAGAACACTCAGGATAAACTTAGCACTGTCTTCACCCCAGTCTATGTGTTTCGATTTGGAGCTCTCCCACTAAGGGAACCTAAATGAGCCGCTGGGAAGGAATACTCTACCCTTTGGTGAATGCTGATACCTAGCAGAGTACGCTGGCATTTGCCAGGAAATAAATGGCTCCTAATTAATGAGTAACTCTAGCTAAAGGAAAGAGACGTTATTTGAGGGTGGAAAAAGTCAAATGGGTCTGTCACTGAACTTCTTGGTTATTGAAAGTCGTCCCCAGGGCCAGGGATGGTGGCAGATGCCTTTAACTCTGGAAGAAGAGTTCAAGGGCAGCCTGAGCTCCATAACCAAGATCCTTTTCGAAGCAAGCAATGATGCAAAAACAAAGACATTGAAACAAGCCAAAGAGAAACTACTCAGATCATAAATAAAGCTGAATGTGGTGGTGGAAACTGGATCTGGATCCATTGCATTTTTCCATTGCAGGGAGGGCAACGGAAAAACAAACGGAAAGGAGCAGGAGATGGTAAAACAGCAGGCAAAGAGACAGACTTATGTAGGTGCATGGAGTCCGTTACGTGTTGTCTGGACAGACTCCACAGAGGTGCACAGCAGGCAGCTGGCTGACCCACAAGGAAACCAACTGAGCCACTGGGGAAAGCCCAGAGAGCCAGATGGAAGCAAGGTAAAAAGATCCACATGGAAGCAATAGAAATTCTAAATCCAAGAACAGGGCAGCAAGACAGACATCACAGAAACAGACAGAGGAGTCTACAGAGGCCGCTAAAGACAGGACAGGTCAATAGGATGTAGATCAAAGGGTACAGTCCATCATAAGCCCAGGCAGCAGGAACCACGTCAAATCCACAATCAGGAAACAGAGAGGGAGGAAGACATGCTTGATTCAAGTCACTCTCTCCAGTTTATGCTGTCCTGGATGCCCACGAAACGGTCTTGTCCCGAACAAAACAGGTTTTCTTACATCAATGAACGAGATCAAGACAATTCCTGACAGGCACGCCCAGGGGCTCATCTCTAAATCTGGTCAAGATGTCAACTACAGCATCATAAGGACTTGGTATGGGCTATACTACCTACAGATAGTGAGCACAGCAATGCTCACTACTGCCCCCTACAGTTTTGTCTGTTTCTAACTTTTTATCTCTTTCTGTCATATCTGTTTTCCCCTTTAAAGCCTGATCTGGCCTTTGCCTCTTCTAGTGTAGTAAACCAAACTTGGCCATGGAAACAAAACCAAGCTTACCAAGGATGTGTTCATCTTCCGCTGTGGTAGGAAAAATCTGTAGGACTAATGCAGTCGGTTCTGGGGAAAAAAAAAACGTCATTATGAGTGGGTGTGGTAAAAGGGGGAGTCTCCTGCATAAAAACCTCCTGGAACATTCTCAGACGAAAACCTTAGGGATGGTGGTCTGGTTGGCTTTCAGAAAGGACTGGAGAATTGCAACGGTGCATTGGGACGAGGGAATGAATGAATGCTGCTGTCGAGGTGAACTGACAAGAAATGCTAGTTAAATAATTAACACAGTTCGGGATGCGAAAGAATACTCACAGGCAGCTCTGAAAACAAAACGGTCAACCTAATGGGAACTGTATTTATATAAAATTACGTGATACTGTGACCATGACTTTAACACTACAAAAGGAATGCCGGCCAAGGACTTAGTACTCCTACTAACAGATGTATGCGTGACTTCGGTTATGTCACCAACATCGCAGACCCACAGTCTAAGAACAGACGAAAACATAAACTTTTTCCTGAACTAGACTTGCACTAGATGCTGCAGGGACAGTCTCGGGAAAACTAGCAGGCAGCACAAGGGTGCAGATGGCGTCTAGGAACATCATGAGACTCGGAAGCTCTGGGAGGAAGGAGTGTCAAGTGAGGTAGGAGTTTGGACAGCGCCACTGCAGCTCAGGCCACAGAGCTGACCTCTCCATGCCCGCACGCCTCATCCTCGGACTATCTACGCAGCCCAAAGCCGTCAACACGACCATAGCTGAAGTCCCGGATCCCGCACGCCGAGGACGGCAGGGAGCCGAGGCTCCGCGCAGGCGCTGATCGCTCAGGCCCCCGCAAGTAGTCTCAGGCCCCCGCAAGCAATCAGACGGACCCAGCCACCCTCCCGCGGCCCCGAGCTGCACCCTCAGGCCTCACCTAGGAGGCCGCGCCGGACCCGGGTCTCGTCGTCCCTGTCGACCCGGCCCTCGGCCTCCCGGGCCTGCAAAGCCGCGTCCGCCTGCTGCCGACCCGGAGGCACCGGCCTCGGCCCCGCAGGCTGGCGACACCAGCTCGCGCAAGCCAAAGCAGCAGGGGCGAGCGCACAGACTCAGACCGCAGGAAGCCAGGGCAGCGCGGCGGTCGTGCGCTTGCGCGAGCATGCACACAAACAAAAGTGCGCACGCGCACCAGCGCCCCGGCACTGGGCTGGACCCAGTGGTCTCCCTCTGATCCTTGGGGGGAGGGTGGGGAGCGTCCCCAGAAGTCTTCTAGGGATCGTCGCGCAAGTCTCCTCCTCGTTTCAGTAGCTTGTGGGCGCCGAGCTGATAGCATCAGTAACTAGAGTTCAGCGGTCATCATAGCGACTTTCCTCACTTCTGAACCTCTAGGAATGGCCTGAGGGGTTCTATCCAGTTACCCAGACCTCTCCCAGCTGGGGACTTTTAGATAAAAGGCAGATTCTAACAGATGAAAGAAAGAAAAGAAGTTTCCATCAAACACTAAGTATAAGAAATGCTCACCAATTCTTTTCCAAAGAAAGAAGACAAACAAACAAACAAATAAAAAACAATCAATTGTTTTGTGGATCACACAGCAAATGCATAAAAATTCTAAAAGCAACACATTGAAAGGGAGAAAAAAAGTGCAGTCAGGTGACAATGTTCAAACATGGACCCCTAAAGTCAATGATTCCTCAGATTTCACGTGCCCTCGAGAATAATGCAAAAGTGTCCTTGTCCTATCGGCTTCCAAAGTTGATGGAGACCGAACAGAAGCTGCAGATGCAGAAAAGGAAGGACTAGAAATGGTGGGTTTCTAGATCACACGTCTAATGCACAGAAACTAAAAACGGAACCAGAAGGAACTCACAGAAAGAAGAAAACAGCTCTCTGTAAAGTGACCTCTGAAAGGTGACATTTGGGGTGAGGCGATAATGACAATTTTCAAAGATGGTACAGTATAATGAACATTCCATCGACTTCTTACGGAAATAATGCAATGGTGTTCTTGGCCTAGTTTCTTCATAGAGACGTTGACGTCAAAATGAATAACAAAGTCTGTCAACAGAGAAAGTTCTGTATGCTGATGCAGAGAGTAAAAGTTTCATCCCAGAAGAAGCACCTTGAAGAGCCAACCTTAGGTAAACTATTGAGCAACTATTGTCTCCAGCAGGAGACAGAAGCATCACTAATCCCCGTCAGATGCTGCAGGGCATACATGGTCTCAGGAGAGAGGGTGAGCCCTCTTCCTCCTCGGAAGGACTGCACTGCAATGCTGGCTGCACCTTCTCCCAGGTCCGTCCTTGTCTCGCCTGGTAACTGAGGTGCCCAGCTGAGCTGGCTCTTATCTCATGAAGCAAAAGCTCTCCCATCCCTGTGACAAACAAGTAGTTACATCTCTGAATGAGGGCCTGGGCTAAACTCCCCAGGTGACAGGGAAATAGGAACACTCTTTCCCCAAAGTTTGCATTGCACAGAGGGGACTCAGGTCTTTCAGAAAAGGAATTCTTGCTTGCAACGAGGACATTTGAAGTTCATATAATTTTTGTATAAAGAGATTTCGGTTTGTACAAACAGACAGAACAAGGGTTACCAGTCAGCAGCCTGAGATCCTTCTGTTCTGCTCAGACAGGAACTGAGTAGCCAAGGAGACACTCGGCCTGTGTGGGCCATCTGGAGTCTGTGTAGCTTCTGAAGTCAATCTTTGTTTTCCCATTTCCAACTCTTCATTATACCACAGCTCGCCTGCTGAACCGGTGATAAGGATCAAAGATAGGGGAACCTGCTGGAGAGAAGCCTCTTGTGGAGCCTGAGGTTCCAGTATGGGAGGAAATGGCTGCTTCCCTCTGAACATATTTCAACTGCAAGCTTCTGTGAACGCTGTGCAGCTTCCTCAGGGGGGCTGGAGTATTAGACGTAGCTGAGTTTCTAAGAAGACATTCTGGTTGCCCTGAGGGCAGTTCACCAGACCAATTGGCTAATGTCCTTCTGTTTAGCACACCCAGGAAGAAACTAGCAGCTGTCAGAAGCAAATGCTCAGTTTCTTTAAAGGAAAAAGAAACATTAACATCGGTGCTCATGATAAAGGCTTATTGTTAACATTAATGGTCATTCAATACTATTTAATAGTGTTCTATACTCAGCTAACTACCCTGGGGACAGCTGGTCATTCCATCTGCTCCAAAAGTGTGTGTGTCTGTGTGTCTGTGTGTGTCTCTGTGTGTGTGTCTGTGTGTGTGTGTCTCTGTGTGTGTGTCTGTGTCTGTGTGTGTCTATGTGTCTGTGTGTATGTGTGTGTATGTGTGTGTCTCTGTGTGTGTGTCTCTGTGTGTGTGTGTGTGTCTGTGTGTGTCTCTGTGTGTGTCTCTGTGTGTGTGTCTCTGTGTGTATGTGTGTGTGTCTGTGTGTGTCTATGTGTCTGTGTGTGTCTCTGTGTGTGTTTACCTATATGGTCTTGCACATGCTATGCAAGCACTTGACTGCTAAGCTACATTTAGCCCTTTTCTGTGTCCTTTCTGTTTTGAGTTGGCTCATTAAGTTACCCAAGCCGGCTTGAACCCACTCTGGAGCCTAGGCTGGCCTTGAACCTGCAATCCTGAGTAGCTGTGATAACAGTCCTGCACTATCAGTCCCAACTTCCTAAGGAATTTCAAACAAATTAACAAAGGTTAGGGCTGGAAAGGTGGCTCAGCAGTTAAACAGCATGTACTGAGTTCGGCTCCCAGCATCAGTGTCTGTCAGATTATAACACCTGCAGCTCCAGCTCAGAGTATCTGATACCTGTGGTCTCCAAACATACACACACACATGCACGTGTGCACATATACCACACTTGAGCACACGCATGCACTTGTGTACACACATGCATGTACATACACACATGTGCACACATGCATGTTCGTACACACACACACTGGTCATATATATTTTTTCACTCTTCATAAATTACCACAGAGGGTCACCTAGATGCCATGTAAGCCTGCAACTGGACTTCAATTCCCAGAACCCACAGCGAAAGGAAAGAACTAACTCCCCAAAGTTGTCTTCTGATCTCTCATGTGTGCTGTGTACACACTCATATAAAACAAACAACAATAATAAATCTATTTAAAATATAAAACTACCGTGAAAACCAATATAAACACGTTTGAAAGCCACATGGTCTTAAAGACAGGGAAAATATAAATCTCCCAAACTCCAGCAGATTTTCCTCAAGGAGTGTTTGTGTGTGAGAAACAACCACTTAAATCTTTCTGTAACTACCCTTCCTATCCATCTTAAGACTCATGGCTCTAGGCCACAGGCAGGTAACATTTACTGTCAACCTCTTCACTTCAGCACCTGTCTGTGGCCACTACTTACTTGGGTGGTTGTGATGGTTTGTAAAAGCTTGGCCCAGGGAGTGGCCTTGTTGGAGTAGGTGTGTCACTGAGGGCATGGGCTTTAATACCCTAGTCCTAGCTGCCCGGAAGCCAGTCTCTTACTAGCAGCCTCCAGATGAAGATGTAGAACTCTCAGCTCCTCCTGCACCAGACCTTCCTGACGCTGCCATGTTCCTGCTTTGATGATAATTGAATGAACCTCTGAACCTGTAAGTCAGCCCCAATCAAATGTTGTTGGTTTTTTTTTTGTTTTTGTTGTTGTTGTTGTTTTTTAATAAGAGTTGCCTTAGTCATGGTGTCTGTTCATAGCAGTAAAACCCTAACTAAGACGGTGGTAAAATGTTGAATCTTAATTGTCTTCATTAACTTGACTGGATTTAGAGCCACCTTAAAGACTGCCTTAGCTTCTTTTCTTGTTGCTTAGATAAAACAGCCCAACAAAAGCCACTTACAGGAAGGAAGGCTTCTTCTGGCTCACCATTCAAAAGTGGTCCAAGATGCTGGGGAAGCCAAACAGGCAGGAGCTTGAAGCAGCTGGTCACATTGCATCTACAAACCAGTGATGAGGAATGGCTATGTTTGACTTGGCGCTCTCCGTCTATAGAGTCCAGGATCCCAACCCAGAGAAATGGGGCCCTGGAGCTGAGTGGGTTTTCCTAACTCAATGAAGCCAATCAAGATAACTGCACTGGCTTGCCAGGAGATCACCCCAACCTGGACAACCTCTCATAGGTCTGCCTTGAGGTGATTCTAGATTCTGTCAAGTTGGCAATTAGCACTGGCCATCACAGAGGCACACCACCAGGCATGTCTTTGAGGGAGTTTCCTGAGAGGTTTTGCTGAGGCAGGAAGATGCACCTTGAAGTGGGTAGCACCATCTCATGGGCTTGGGGTCTTGGATGCAATGTGACTCCTCATACTACTGCCACCACCCCTTTGCCATGACAAATCATAGCTCTCCAACTGTGAGCTCAAATAAACCCTTTCTCCCTGAAGTTGCATCTGTCAAATATTTTGTCCAGCAGTGTCTTCAACTGATGGTGCTGTTTGGGGAAGTCCTGGAAACTTAAAACATGGGCCCTGGATGGAAGAAGTAGGTTCAGGAGCAGAGGGAATATATTGGGTATATGTGGTCCCTTCCTGTCTTCCTCTTTCCGTTTCCTGTCTGCCGTGCAATGAGGAGCTGTCCTCAACCACACATTTCTGCCACCATGATGTTCTGTCTTATAATAACCACAGAACCACACAGCGGAGGGACCATGCACCGAACCCTTTGAAATGATGAGGTCAAACAAAGTGTTCCTCTTTCAGGAGTCTATCAGGCACAGTGTCACAGGAATAGAAAAGTAACTCACAGAGAAAACTGGTGCCTTGCCGGGCAGTGGTGGCGCACGCCTTTAATCCCAGCACTTGGGAGGCAGAGGCAGGCGGATTTCTGAGTTCAAGAGTTCGAGGCTAGCCTGCTCTACAGAGTGAGTTCCAGGACAGCCAGGGCTACACAGAGAAACCCTGTCTCGAAAAAACCCAAAAAAAAAAAAAAAAAGAAAGAAAGAAAAGAAAACTGGTGCCAGGAGAGTGGACCGTTGCTGTGATAAAACCTG